TGCATAGTGCTGTACTATCTGCTCAGTGTGCATAGTGCTGTACTATCTGCTCAGTGTGCACAGTGCTGTACTATCTGCTCAGTCTGCATAGTGCTGTACTATCTGCTCAGTCTGCATAGTGCTGTACTATCTGCTCAGTCTGCATAGTGCTGTACTATCTGCTCAGTCTGCACAGTGCTGCACTCTCTGCTTAGATTCAGCCAGATGCTGCCAAACTGATTGGAAGGTGTTTTACAGTACTAATGGAAAATGAGCCAAAACACAATGCTCAAGCAGCCAAAGAGCTTCCCAAGGTAAAGAAATGGCATATTCTTCAATGGCCAAGTCAGTCGCCTGATCTCAACCCAACAGGCTTCTGGTGATGTCCGTGGGTTCCAGACTTTTGGCAGTCATTGGCTGCAAAGGATTTTCATCAAATATTAAAACAATGTATATATTTTATATTATAATTCTTTGTCCTATTACTTTTGAGCCTCTGAAAATGGAAGGCCTCCATTGAAAAATGGGTGTCATTTCTGAAGGCTTACTTTTATTACATTTGTTAAACCACCTAAATTATAAAGCTGAAAATCATCATTTGGGGGGGGGCTCTAATTGTTTGCATGACACCCCTGTTCATTGGCTATGATCGTTCAGTAAAACTTCAGAGCCCTGTGGCCGAGTCCACACTCCATAGAGGCCTAGATGTTACTGTAAATGTAAGATGTACTGCAATACTACTGGGTTTTTATGAGCAGTACTTATAATTCAGTTTTGGAGTGACTGACTAATACTGCATGTAACTAAGATTACATGTTTGTTTTCATATCTTTGTCGGAAGTCTCCTTTTATTTCTGTGTGAAAAACTCTGATCCCAACAATGACAACCTTAACCCCCACCCAGCCCTAACCTTAACCATAAGTAACTATAACAACCTTGACCCCTACCCAGCCCTAACCTTAACCATAAGTAACTATGACGACCTTAACCCCCACCCAGCCCTAACCTTAACCATAAGTAACTATGACAACCTTAACCCCCACCCAGCCCTAACCTTAACCATAAGTAACTAT